TTTTTTTTTTTTTTTTTTTTTTGGTACAGGGATGGAACCCAGGACCTTGAGTTTGCATGGCAGGCGGCATGGGCTTCTCATGCTTAAAATCCTGAAGAAAAATTTTCTTATTTCCCTCAATACAGACTCTGTTAAAAAATGAGATATTTCCTTATTAGTAAGACAACTTTACCTTTTCAAGTCAGAAATCTGAGTATGTGCATCAAGCAATTTGTTCTCAGCTGTATTTAATGCATCCTATGAAAACAAAGAGAAAATTCAGATAACTCAAGATACACATTTCTATCTATTCTTTTAATTCAAAATGCATCACACGGGCTGGGGATTTAGCTCAGTGGCACCGCACCTGCCTCACAAGCGCAAAGTCCTGAGTTCAATCACGGTACCAAAAAAAAAAAATGCATAACACAGTACCACTCTAAAGCCAAACCAGCTGGCTACAAATTAAACAGATACTCAGCAAGCATGGGATCAACCAGCACCGGGACAAGTAACAGGAAAAACAAGAGGGCAAGACACAGGCCTGCACATGTCACCCTGTTTAAGTCCCCTGCAAGATACTGTAGCGCATTATGCTTTGCTTAGTTGGAAACAGTTCTGACCACACATTTGATTAACAGATTCACAGAAGGAAAGGAGAAATAATACCTTTGCCAACAATGTGATTCGTTCCTGAATCCAGAGCCCTTGCTGTCTGGCTGAGCAGCCACGAAGCCTGCATGCCAGCCAAATGACACGCACGGGGCCCACCTGCCTGCAGCGTTATTACAAGGTTGCATCAGTGCAAATATGTAGTCTCCAAACAGTCTAGTGAGAAATAAGCTCATACATTCCCACAAAAAACCTAAGGCCCTGCCTCGCAAGTGCAAGGGCCCGAGTTCGATCCTTGGTACTAAAAAATAAAAATAAAAAAATCTAAGGCTTTGCAAATAAAAAATTTATATTGAAGCAGTATTAATTAATTGCATCTGTGTGAGTCCTTATGCTCTTGAACAATTTAACCTCAATCCATCTTAAATGCAATAACCATTCCAAAGTGCTTATTAAATGAATTAGCTATCTAACTTGTGCATCAAATACGGCAGATATTTGAAAACAGGGATAACAACAAGAGGATGAACATGTGGACTCCTTTACAGAGTGAGGGGTGGAGGAGGAGAAGAAAGGCTCTGGTCTTTTAAGGCCCATCCAGGGCTTCTGTCGCTACATGAAATCCAGGACAAGGACCATGGTCCCTTACCTTTACTTGTCTGTGTTCCTTTCCCAGGGAGTCATACTCTCCTAACAGCTACGAAGAAAAACAATTGTATCACACAATTAAACATTATGACAGCCAAGGGACAGTCTAAAAACTAACAGCTCACACCGTTCAAAACTGGTCATGCAAAAGAAAGATTAACATATTACTGATGATGTGGGTAAATGGTGTATGATTCCTGATATTATTCTTGCAAATTTCTTCATGCCTTCCTTCCCTCCTTCCTTTCTTTTTCTTTCTTTCTTTCCTTCTTCCTTTTTTTGTGAGTCAGGGTCTCCCCATGTAGTACAGGCTGGCCTTGAACTCACTTTGTATCCCAGTCTGACCTCAGAGCTCTCAGCAATCCCCCTGATTCAGCCTACCAAGTACTAGGATTATAGGCATGTACCACCTCACCTGGCATTATTCTTGCAAATTTTTAAGTTTAAAATTACCTCAAGAGTAAAAATAATATTCAATTCCCTTGAAGTAGTTTATCTGACTAAAATTTATTTGCACTGTCCTTTGTTGAATTGTTACATGTTACTTCCTATTTTTTCTAAGATAGGGTCTCACTAAAGTTCAGGCTGGCCTCGAACCCACAGTGATCCTCCTGCCTCAGCCAGGATCACAGCTGTGTTCTACCATGCCTAGCTTGAATTGTTACATATGATGTTTTGCTAAGCTAGCTCTATAGAATAAAAGTACAATGCAACATACTATATAATATCTACTATGTCATATCATGTGATACATAATACTATAATAGAACCAATTAATTATAATTAATTTACTTTTAAAATACATATATTGAGACCTCCAGTTAAAGACAGATACACCACACAATTTTCTCCTCTTTATCTGAAATCCCAGTAAATTAACAATGAAGAAATCAAAGAGAAAACAAAAGTGGTGACCATAAAAGGTAAGATATTTTAATAAAAGACCATTTTGAAAGTAAACAGAGCCAGGAGCACAAAACTGTGACCCCAGAAGTCTGGGAGACTCAAGCAGGAGGATCATCAATTCAGGCCAGGCTAAGTAACAGACTTAATAAGACCCTGTTTCAAAACAAGGCAAAGACCAAAGCACCTGGGCAGGGTAGAGGGGTTGCCACACCAAGGGCCTGCACTGAGGACTGTGGACAAAGGGAGGCGCTCATGACCTGAAGCCCACATTGAGAGGTGGACAGGGTGAAGCACAGGCCTGACCCTGGGCAGCTGGCTGAAGTTCCTTGAGCACAGTGTGAAGAACAAACAGATGAGAAATAGAAGTCAGTATAAAACAGACATTTAAATCAAAGGTTAACTCACAGAAACAATGGATTAACACTAGAGAAATCGGCCTGGCGTGGTGGCGCATGCCTGTGATCCCAGCACTCTGGAAGCTGAGGCAAGAGGATCACCATGAATGAGTTCAAGGCCAGCCTGGGCTACAGAGTGAGATTCTGTATCAAAAAACAAAACACTAGAGAAACCACTGAAGAGAATCATAATTAATACCTCACATTCATAAGACAAGAACAGAAAACCGTGAAAAATGAGGAATCAGGAAAAAGGGCTTAGAAACTAAAAATGAGGGCCAGGGATGTAGCTTAGTGGCACTGCACCTGCCTGACAAGTGCAAGGTCCTGAGTACTGAGGGGAAAAAAATGACTAAAAGTGAAACAAATAAATGTAATATTAAGACCAAAAGAAAGAACAGGCCAAAATGAAAACTAAAAGTCTTAGAGAATCAACCCATCTGTTGAAATACATCTGTTGGCAAAAAGTTCCAGAAAGTACAGAGAAAATAAAAGATAGGAAATTAATCAGGAAGTGACATTAACAGATTCTGCAGAACTGTGGGACAGTAAGGTATGCAGTGGAAGAATCTGTGCCCCTAGTCAGAGCATACTGCTGCGAAATTTCAGAACACCAAGGATAAATAAGATGCTGGAAATTTTCCATAAGAAGAGGAAGAAGATCCTATTCAAAAGAAATAAGCAATATTATTAGCCTGGTGTGGTGGCCCAGCCTGTAATCCCAGCACTATGGGAGGCTGAGGCAGGAAAGTCATGTACTTACATGCCCAGCCAGGAAAAATTACTTTTTTTTTTTGAGACAGCATCTCACTTTGTATTTCATGCTGGCCTCAAACTTGTCGCGATCCTCCTGAATGCTGGGATCACAGGTGTGTGCCACCACTCCCAGAGTGCACACCTTTAAAAGAACAAAAGTGGGGGAAGGGGAGGACTGAGGGTGGTAAAGCACTTGCTTAGCATGCATAGAACTCTGGGTTTGATCCTTAGCATCAGCACTGCAAAAAAAGAAGTGAACCTCCATAAAAGTACCACAAATTGATGGTGCAAGTACGTAATCACAGCTTTCTGAGAGGCTGAGGCAAAAGGTTCAGAAGTCCGAGCCCAGCCTGGGCAACTCAGCAGCTTACTAAGACCCTGCCTCAAAATAAGAAAATGCAATAAGGGTTGGGGATCTAGCTTAGCGAGAAGGCCCTTGGATCAATCTCTAGTACCAAAAGCAAAATAAAACAAAAAATCACAAAGTACACACCAAGAACAGATAAATACAATACCTATAACTATTTTATATTAATCACATTGAGAAGTTAAAAGGTCTGACTATACCAAGCACTGGAAATAATCCAGAAAACTATGATGTCTCATACCCTACTGACAGGGAAAATAAACTGCACAACCACCTCAGAGAACAGTTTAGCAATATGTAGTATAGAGGACAATGCTCATATCTGATGTCTCGGACATCAGGCTCTGAGAGATTCATTCACATGAGACTGTTCCCTAACAACCTCCACGGCACTATTTCTAGCCCACAAGCCATTGCAGAATCTTGCTATGTCCCATCAAGGGGTGATAAAGATTTCCCCTCCCCTAAACCCTGTGCAGAACTTTGAGACTCTCTAAAAAACAGAATGTGCTGGGTATGGTGGCACACACCTGTTATCCCAGCCCTTGGGAGGCTGAGGCAGGAGGATTGCTCTGAGTTTGTGACCAGCCTGGGCTACATAGTGAGTTCCAGGTCAGTCTCAACTACATAGTGAGACCCCATCTCAAAAAATCAAAATAAATAAAATAAAATAGGGCCAAGGATTTAGCTCAGTGGTTCTGCAGCCTGCCTCACAACCGCAAAGACCTGAGTTCAATACCCAGTACCAAAATAAAATAAAATACAGAATGTGGCATGGTAATGCTGTATGACTTCAAGGCATCAAACGTCTTTAGAAGACATGGCTGATGTCTGTCCTTAATATTTGGCCAGGTAGAAAAGCTCTAAAATGTTATAAACTGAGCTTGACAGGAGATTCCAGTCAGAGCTCAAAAGACCAGAAATACAGATAAGACCAAGCTCACAAGGTTTCAGTTGGATATAAGGACTCCACTGGCAGTTGGACCAGAGACCATGTGCTATGCACTGGTCGAAAATTTGTCTAGCTAGGCATGGTGGCACATGCCTGTACTCGCAGCACTTAGGAGGCTGAGACAGGAGGACAACCATGAGTTCAAGGCCAGCTTGAACTATACAGTGAGACCCTATCTCAAAAATACTCCCTCCAAAAATTGTCTAAAATTGGTTCACGTCATGAGACTTCGCAGGAGACCGAGATTAGGGGGCAGACTAATAAATTTGGCAGAGGAACTTACAGGACAACCCATCATTCAGGCGGTAGCATGGCTGTTAGGTGCTTTTAGCTAGCTTTACAATGAGAATCAGGAGCAAACAGCATAGCACAGAGATTTTTAGTTTTTAGTTCTGCCAGTAAATAAGTGCCTGTAAGTTTTGGCCAGGAGCTTGGTTGCTAAAAAGATGAACATGAAGAAGAAGCCAAGCCCTTTACATCAAGACACTAGAAAAGATGTCTTAAGGACACCTCAGAAATCAGCAAGACCTCCATTTTCACAGGCTACGAGATGTAACAGTGGAAGACCTTGCTTTGAGAAAAGAGCCCCATGGAACCTAGCTCATTCAGGGCCAGATAGAAAAAGAGTATCCCTCAAGCTCAGCCATCCAGGCACTCAGAAGCTTCTGCCACCGTGATCCAAGGGGGCCCAGCCAGTGCTTGAGTGGGCAACAGACACTGCAGTCAACCACATGGTGCTAGTTTCACAGGTGTGCACAATGCAAGAGTTGTGGAGTCATGGAGATTCCCCCAGATTTCAAAAGGAGGCCTGGGAGGACAGGCAGTGTGCACCTGAGAGGGCACTGTGTGAAGCTGTGAGAATGAAGCCAAAAGCACAGTGAAGACCCCAGGAAAACAGAGAAATCGAGAATGTGAAACATTTGCTGAAAAAGGCCCAGGGAGTGAGCAGAGCAAGCCCAAGAGAAAAGCCATGAGAGCTGCATCTGGCAGTGCTGCAGGGGAGGGCTACCTACACCATGTGGGGAGCACATCTTGCCACAGCATGTCCTCAGTGTTGGGCAAGGAACTATGGGATTTAATGCCTGCCCTGATGAGTTTTGGTACTGCTTTAGTCCAATTTTTTTCTACCTTCCTGTTGCTTTTAAAATGGGAAAGTTTGAATAGTTTCTCTGGTATGAAAAACTAAAAGTGTAAATAAGTCAAATGCTCTTTGCTTTTAAAATGGGAAAGTTTGAATAGTTTCTCTGGTATGAAAAACTAAAAGTGTAAATAAGGTTCAAATGCTATAATTGATAGTGTGAAATAGGAAGAAAATGGCTAAAGGGAAAGTGGGAAGGGGAGGGGAAAGGAAATAAGGAAAAAGAAAAATGAAAATAGGAAAAAATGGAAACAAAGTCTTTGTAAATAGGGAAAGGTGAGGGGGGTGAAGGGAGAGAAGGGGGATGGGGAAAAATAAGAAAGACTTATCGTGTAAAGGTACAAGATCCCAATGACAAATGTGACTGCATTGTTTGCTTTAAATGTAACAATAAGCTTAATGGGAAAAAAATTTTTTTAAATAAAAACAAAATGGGAAAGTTTATTTTGTGCCATTTTATATTGGCAGTGTTTAACTTTCTGTTTTTGGAGGGGAGGAATGGGGACCAAACTCGGGACCTTGTGCTTGTGAGGCAGGCAAGGGAACCACTGAGCCAAATCCCCAGCCCTTTAACTTTCTTTTTGATTTTTATAAGGATTCACACCTAAAAGTTTGTCTTGGCTTTCAGAAAAGAAGACTTTGGACTTTTTCAGCAATGCTGAAACTGTTAAACTTTGGTCTCATAGAGATGAACTAAATGCATTTTACATCAAGAGACACACGAGTCTTCTGGGGCCAGGGGCACAATGTTGTGCTTTGGATTTGGAATGTCCCCTGTAAGCCTCATGTGTCTAGTGGGCTTCTGAAAGGTGACTGGATCGTAGGGACACTCTGGCTGCTATTAGCAGGTAGGGCCTAGTTAGTCAGGTCACTGGGTCATGGAAGAGTGTATCTCTCTCCTTGGCTGCTTCCATCACTCTCTGCTTCCTGGTGGTCATGATGTGATTAACATTTCCTCTGCTGTGCCCTTCTGCCATGTTGCCCAACCTTGGGGCCAGCGGACTATGAAAATGTCAGCCAAAATAAAGCTCTCCTTTAAAATGTGTTGCCAGGAATTTAGTTCAGGGGTGCCTCAAGTTCGATCTCCGAAACCAAAATAAATAAATAAAATGTGAATGTCAGGTATTAGTAACAAGAAAATGACTAAGACACTCAGCATTCTGGATAATGAGCCGGGAGGACTGAGAGTTCAAGGTCAGCCTGGACTACCCTGTCTCAAAGAAAAAAAACAAAACAAAACAAAACAAAAACAAAAGATGCAGAATATTCAATGCAGCACAATAGCATTTACAAAAAGTTTTAAGACATGCTAAAGAAGTAACTTTGGTTACAGATACATACAGTCATGATCACAGACAGATAAAGGAATTATATTCACATAATTTAGGTCAGTTACTCCCACGAAGGCAGAGGTAATCAGAAAAGGGTACATGAGAAACTTCAACCACAGTTGTAATATTTATTTTTTAAGATGCCCATGGTAGCTCCATATATATTGCTATATTATCGTTCATATTTTTTATATATTTGAAATATTTCAAATACACTTAAATGAAACCAATAAATGAAAGATAAAAGTAGCAATACAGCATATCTCAGAAATGTTCACAGGAAAAAAACAGGTGCCAACATGATGAACTTCATACACAGTTTAAGAACCTATGAAACATTAACAGTAGCCAGGTGCAGTGATAGGCCTATAATCCCAGAACCCTGGGAAGCAGAGGCAGGGGAATTCCAAGATTAAGGCAAGTCTGAGCAATTCAGCAAGACCCTGTCTCAAAATTTAAGTATATAAATAAATAAATACATAAAAAGGGATACACAACCTGCAACCTTATTTAGTATTAATGTTATTATGCATCCAATTTTTAGCTTTTTTGTTTTTGTTTTTGTTTTGTTTTTTCGTACTCAGGACCTTGTGCTTACAAGGCAGGCAGTGGAACCACTGAGATAAATCCCCAGCCCTATGCATCCAATTTTTAAGTGAAAATAAATCAAAGTAAAAATTCAATCAAACCTGCTCTAAACCTGGCTCACAGCATTTTACCCTGCCAGGCACACAGGGAGCACAATAGCTCAGAAAGTGATCTGCTAGAGACAGAAAAGGACAGAGCAAGGCCTGCCTTCTGAAGTTCTGACTTCCTGCTGCAGGCTAAGCCCCAACCACCTCCATCCCGCACTCGGAAGTAATCACCACAAATTGCAAGAGCACACAGTCAGAGTTCCTACTATTTGTTACTTACATCTTGAAACATTTTGCTTTCTTGTTTTAACCTAGCTTCTTTATCAACTGAGAGTTTGTATGCATTCTCAAATGCTTCTTCTAAATCCTGCAGTCTAGATTTTAGTCGAATGATGGTATTGTCTTTTTCTTTATTGCTTGTTCTCATTTCCTCAATTCGTTCCTGCAAAATTTTGGAGGTACTACTGGCTGCACTGAAGTGTTCTCTCAAATCATTCTACAAAATAAAGATGAAGACAAGGCATTTTATTTATTTATTTCAGCACTAAGAACTTAACTCAGCACCTTGCGCTTGCAAGGCAGGCAGTGGAACCACCAAGCTAAATCCCTGGCCCAAGATAATGTATTTTTATTAAAAAATAGACAACACAATAATATTATGGGCAATATATTTCTAAAAGAAAGCATACAAATTGAAATAAATATACTTAATACTTTGATTTATCCTGAGATCTAGAATCTAGAAAGAATTACTCTACTAGAACAACTCCTTGAAATTATGCTAAGGTAGAGAAAACTAGCGTCATCGGCCTTATGATTCTAGGACTCATTAAGCTAATAGTGCCTATGAATCACCTTATGAGGAAAAACAAGCACTGCTATAAGATAAATTATTCTGAAAGTCTGTTAGCCAAGATTAATATGCGGAGGGGAGGCAATACTTACCGATTCTCTCACTAGAAAAACAGAAAATTCAAAATGCATCTGATATGTTAAAGTTTATTCAGTAATTATTTCTAGAATAGCCACAATGTGCAAGGCACTAGGGTGCTATCAATTTAAGATTGAAGCTGGGCAAGGTGGCATGCCAGTAGTCTCAGCTACTTGAGAGGCTGAGGCAGGAGGATCACTCAAGCACAGAAGTTTGAGACAAAGCTGGAAAACACAGCAAGACCCCATCTCAAAAAAACAATCAAAAAAAAAAATGTTAAGTTAACAACAAAGTTAGTAACTCCTAACTTCATGAAGTTTACAGTTTAGGAGGAGACAAAAATAACTTTAAAAAGCATCAAAGACAGAAACAATGTACAGAACAAAACATGCATTTTTAACCAACATTTTATTTACAAGGTTACATATAAAAGAATAAAACTTGGTAATACCTAGGGAAATGAAATAAAAGTAAAAGTTAATGCATTTGGGCCAGGGATTTAGCTCAGTGGTTCAAGCGCAAGGATATAAGTTTGATCCCAGGTACCAAAGGAAAAAAAAAAAAGCACTCCTAATTATCTACTCAAGGAAACTGAAAACATGTACACATAAAATCTTTTTTTTTTTTTTTTTTTCTGTACAAGTGATCAAACTCGGGTCCTAGCATTTGCAAAGCAGGCAGTGGAACCACTGAGAAGAATCTCCAGCCCTACACATAAAATCTTGTACAGAGGACACCCCATTCAGGACCCGTCTTGTCTCTCCTGAGCTACTCTAATTGGGCATTCTGATTCCCCAGTAAATTAGTAAATTTTCCTGTTCTCCAAAAAAACCACCACCCTTGTACAGAGAGAAGGTGGCTAGGTGGTAGAGCATATACTCAGCATGCTCAAAGCCCTGGATTCAGTCTTCAATTCCTAGCACAAAAAGAAAGTACATATCTAAGGAAATATTCTTTTTTTTTGAGACAAGGTCCCACTATGTAGTTGAGACTGAACTGGAACTCACTATGTAGCCTAGGTTGGTCTTGAATTCACAGAGATCCTCCTGCCTCAACCTCCCGAGTGCTGGGATTACAGTCGTGAGCCACCATGCCCAGTTAAGGAAATATTCTTAATAGCCAAAGGGTGGAAACAATCTGAACACCCCCCACCTGATGAATAAACAAAATATGATATCCACATAACAAAATACTGACCATTAAAAGGCTGACGCACTGATAGTTGCTGATAAAGTTAAAAACAGAAGTAAAAGAGTCCAGACATAAAAGACCAACATGGCTCATGATTTTATTTACATCAATATCCTGAACAGAGAAATCCACAGAAATAGAAAGAGAAGCCAGGCAGGAAGATTATCTTGAGTTCAAGGCCAGCCTGGACTACACAGTAAGACCTTGTCTCAAAAAACCAAAAAAAAAAGAAAGAAAGAAAGAAAGAAACAGAGAAGCTGTGTTTGTAGGGGTTGGGGACAGGAATGCCTTGGGTGATGGCAAATGAATATGGAGTTTTAAACCCCATCCTCTATACTGGGAACTGAACCCAAGGGAAAGCTGTGGCACATCCTCAGCTCTTTTAAAAATTTTATTTCAAGGGCTGGGGATTTAGCTCAGTGGTGCCACACCTGCCTGGCAAGTTCAAGGTCCTGAGTTCGATCCCCGGTACAAAAAAAAAACAAAACCACTTTATTTTGAGACAGGGCCTCACTAGGCTAGAGTTGAAGTTGCAATCCTCCTGACTCAGCCTCTCTAGTAGCTAGGATTACAGGTGTGTGCAACCACACTTAGTTGGAATTCCTTTTTTTTGGGTAGCAGGGATCAAACTCAGGACCTTGCACTTGACAGGCAGGCAGCCACACTACTGAGCTAAATCTCCAGCCCTGGAATTCCTTTCTGATTGAGGAAAATGTCCTAATAACTGATAGTAAAGATGGTTACATACTCAATTTACTAAATATTGAATTATATACTTTGAAAGGATGAGTTTTACGATATTCAAATTATATTAAAAAGCAAACAAAATCTTTGAAAGGATAAAAGCATACAGTACCACATGAAGCCAGCATTAAAGAAAATACAAAGCTACTCGGTAAGATCCTTAAGAAGACAATGTTATAACATGCATAGGAGTAGGCAAAGACTTCTTGAACAAAACCCAGACAGCACAGGAAATATTACAAAGAATCAACAACTGGGAACTCATCTTATTAAAAAGCTTTTGCACAGAAAAGAAACCACCAACAGAGTGAAGAGACAAACTCACATAGTGGGAAATTATTTTTCCCAGCTATTTAGAAAGACTGTTATCTAGAATATATAAAGAACTAAAAAAAAAAAAAATCAGCCCCCCCCAATTTAAAGAACAATTGCAAAAATGGGCATCTGAAATAAAGATACTTGTCAGATAAAGAATTAGAAACAGCAAATAAATATATGAAAAAGTGTTCAACATCACTGGTCATTCAAGAGATGTAAATTAAAATGCTGAGATTCCATCTCACTCCAGAAAGAATGTCTGCTATCAAGAAATCAACCAATAACATCTGGGGATTCAGCTTAGGGGTTCTGCGCCTGCCTCACACAGAAGTCAACAAAAAAATAAATGCTGGAGGGACTGTGGGGAAAAGGAACCCTTGTCCACCACTGCTGGGAGTGCAGACTGGTGCAACCACTGGAAATCAGTGTGGAAATTTCTCAAAGAACTAAAATGAGATGTTCCATTTGACCCAGCTATTCCTTCTCTTGTTATCTTCCCAAAAGAATTAAAAGAACCCTACCACAGTGATATGTGCTCAGCCATGTTTATAGCAGCACAGTTTGTAATAACTAAATCTTGGAAACAGCCTAAATGCCCATCAACTGATCAATGGATAAAGAAGATGTTTTTTTAATACAATGGAGTACTACTTACAGCTAAATAGATGGACCGTGAGAACCATACTCTTAAGTGAAATAAATCAGACACATTTTGGGGTTTTGTTTTGCTTTGTTTTTTGGTACCGGAGATCAAACTAGGCACCTTGCGCTTGCGAGGCAGGCGGCGGCACCACTGAGCTAAATCCCTGGCCTAAACACATGTTTAAATACTGCCTTGTGGGCCAGAGGTTTAGTTCAGTGGTTCTGCCGCCTGCCTTGCAAGAGCAAGGACCCAAGTTCAATCCCTGGTACAAAAAAATAATAAATAAATAAAAACTGAATTGTTTCTCTGCTGTGAGAAACTGTAAGTGGAAATAAGGACTGAGATGGATGTTGGGAAATGGGACAAAAGTATTCAAATTTGAAGGAGAACAAGGGAGGAGGGAGGGAGAAAGGAAGGAAGGGACAAGAAAAAAAGTGGAAACAGAAGGAAAAAATAGAAACAAAGCTTTTGTACACAGGGAGAGGAGGGGGTTTGGGGGTGGAATAAAATTTAAAAAAAAATTTTTTTTTTTGGTACCAGGGATTGAACTCAGGATCTGCATTTAAGAGGCAGGAGGCAGAATAACTGAGCTACATCCCTGGCCCAAAGTAAACTTTATTTTAAAAAATGAGTTCCTTGAGTTCAGTTGATAAAATGGTTTTTTTAAATCATTAAGTCACTAGGATAAAAAAAAAACAGAAAAAGAAAGGAGTACTTACCACTTCTATTTCCAGAAAGTTATTCTTATTTTCTAATGTTCTCACATGACCAGTAGCTTCAAGCAAAGCACTATCCAACTGGCTACATCTAAAAGCCATAAGTACATTTTCAATTAGAAAGTAAAATAATTTCTCTTAAAAGTATGACATTAAAAAAACAAAAGGGCTGGGGATTTAGCTCAGGGGTTCCACCACCTGCCTCACAAGCACAAGGTCCCGAGTTCAATCCCCAGTATAAAAAACAACAAAATAAGAATTTTAATAAACAATAGTATTACATAAATCTAACTGATCCACCAATATCTAAAACTAATCTCCAGAATGACTTAAAACCAAGACGCTATTTTAGTGAAATATACCCCAAAGAACTGTAAGCTATTCTAGTATATGGGGAAAGTAACAGGCTAAAATAACGATATGAAAGATCCCTAAAAAATATTAAATGGGGCTTAGAGTGTAATTCAGTGGCAAAGCATATGCTTAGCATGTGTGAAGCCCTGGTTCAATCACTAGCATCAAACAATAATAATAATAATAATAATAAGCCAGGCATGGTGGCGCACACCTGTAATCCCAGCACTTGAGAGGCTGAGGCAGGAGGATCACTGTGAGTTTGAGACCAGCCTGGGCTACATAGTGAGTTCCAGGTCAGTCTCAACTACATAGGGAGACCCTGTCTCAAAAAAGAAATAATTAATAATAATAATATCAGGCTAGGGATTTAGCTCAGTGGTGCCACCACCTGCCTTGCAAGCACAAGGTCCCAAGTTTGATCCCTGGTATCGAAAAAAAGAAAAAAGATAATAACAGTAGTAATAATATACATTAAGTGAAAAGCATAGCATGAAAAGATATTTAAATAATCAATCTCACAGTAGCTCTCTGCACAATAGGCAAAAGGTGGAAGCAACACAAATGTCCTTCAACAGATAAACAGATAAAAATATACACACTGGACTGAATCTTAAAAAGGAAGGAAACTCTGATATGGGCTGCCACATTATGTTGGGTGAGATGAGTCAGTTATAGAGGACAGGGCCAGGGATTTAGCTCAGTGGTTTCACTGCCTGCCTCGCAAGCACAAGAGCAGGAGTTCAATCCCTGGTACCAAAAAAAAGAAAGAGGAATCAATTACAGAAGGACAAGTACTATATGACTCTACTTACGCTAGCAATTAAGTTTAAAGAAAGAGAAAGCAGAACAGTGGTTGCCAGGGGCTGGACAGAGGGTAACAGGGAACTACCGTTCAACCAGTAGAGAACTCCAGTTTTGCAAAATGAAAATAATTCTGGACGTGGCGGGAGCAATGGCTGCATAACAACATGAATTTAATTTAAGCCACTGAACTCTACACTTAATGTTTTGGTTAAAATTAAAATTTTTAGGGCTGGAGACTTAGCTCAACAGTGCCGAGCCTGCCTGGCAAGCACAAGGTCCTGAGTTTGATCCCCAGTACCAAAAAAAAAAATTTTTTTAAAGGCCAGGCATGGTGGCACACGTCTGCAATCCTAACACTTGGAAAGCTGAGGCAGGAGGATCATTGCAAGTTTAAGGCCAGCCTGGACCACATAGCAAGATCCTGTTTCAAAAAAAAGAGACAAATTAAAATTTTGAAAAAGCAAGATAGAGAAATCCATACAAAATATACTGAACTTACTTTCGGGGGAAAAAAAATCTACTTGTATGCATTATGATTGCTGGAAGGATGCAAAAAATTGATATTGATACTAGACATTATGTTAGGGAGATTTATTATCAATCTTAGCATGAATGTATTCTTATAAAAATTTTCGGGCCGGGGATTTAGCTCAGCAGTTCGGTGGCCTGCCTTGCAAGTGCCAGGACCCGAGTTCAATCCCTAGTACCAAAACAAATTTTTTTTTCTTTGTAAAATTAATTACCACAGATCCTCAAAATAACAAAATACATAGAATTCAGCTATTATTTGACAATGTTTCATGACGTACTGTGAATAAAAAGAGCATTATTTATGTAGCACTCATTATGTGCTAGGTCTGTGTTATACACTTTATATTTAGCCTCATAATCTTTCAAATTAAATTAGGATCACTGCCAGTCCCGCTTCAGAAACGAGCAAACCAAGTGCAGTTGGCCGGTGGCGGAAGGCCCCTCGGGGGTCCGCAGTTTAGCTGAGGTGTCTGGGAGGCTCTCCAGTGAGGGAAGCACACTCTCCCTCTAAGCTCCACTCTCAGCCCTTCCCCAGGTTCTCAGCCAGGAGGCGAGGAGGTCCTGCTTCTAACTCCAAGCCTAGCGTGCTCAGATGAAATACTGACAGGACTGGTTCTTTCTGTCTTGCTTTGTTTCCAGTGCTGATCATTAAACCCAGAGCCTCACTGAGCTGTGCCCCTCAGCCTGGGAAGACTGTTCTTGGAAGAAAGATAATTTAACTAGTCACATGTGAGTGTGCTAACTGGATTCCACCATGTTTATTACCACACTGGTTCTGCTATCCCAGCGATCACTGTCCCCAGAGTCACAGCTGTGCAGCCATAAAGATCTGCTATCACAGCTGGCTGCAGCATAAGCATTCCTGGCCCCATGTGCAGTACTGGTGGAATTTTCAATTTGCAAAGTTTTGTGGAAAAAAACAAAGCAGGTATATGCACTGATAACAGTGGTTTTTGGTTCAGAATTATCTTTCCAGTTCTAAAGTTCTACAACTTCTTATTTTGCTTCTACTGTCTTGTGTAACACAGCTTTCTCCTGGAAGCCACATCAAATCCTTTTGGCAGGTGAGAAAAAACAATGTGCTCAGCTGCCTGGCACTGTTACACTGACTGCATCCTGGCCTGCACTACCATTAACTGGTGCCACACAGCAACTGATTCAAAGCCTGTTCACTGCTCCATCCACAGGGACTTACTGACAAGCCCACTAGCACTTCCTAGACAGCAGGGTGTTGTAATTAGCTACTGTTCACTGGGTGACTTTATCAGGACTCTATCTTTAACATAAAAAAGCCACCATACCTGTTGTGATCATTACCTTTCTCTTTTCTTTCCCTTTTGGTTTTTTGGGACAAGACCTCACTATATGGTTCAGGCTGGCCTTGAACTCACCATGGAACCTAGCCTGGCCTCAAACTCATAGTGATCCTCCCACCTCAGCCTCCCAAGTGCTGGGATTGCAGGCATGCGCCACCATGCCCTGTTTATTAGTTTTTTTTGTTTTGTTTTTTTGGGTGTTTTTGAGGGGTGGGGTTTGAGCAGGGTCTCAACTATGTAATTGAGACTGACCTGGAACTCACTATGTAGCCCAGGCTGGTCTCAAACTCACAGGGATTCTCCTTCCTCAGGCTCCACTGGGATTACAGGCATGTGCCACCATGCCCAGCTGTTTTTTTGGGTTTTTTTGACAGATAGTCTCACTAAGTTGCTAAATTGCCCAGGCAAGGCATGAACTTATAATTCTTCTGCCTCATCCAGGACTCCATAGTACTAATCTTTCCATAAATGATATGGGAATGATTGTACCTATACGTAAATGGTTGTACCTATACAAAGTCTGCCTGCTTCCATACTCTGCCAATAGGAAGAAGCCCATGACTTCATGTAAGTTATTAACGTATTATATAAGATTGGCTCAAAGCTTTAAAACTGGTTAGGCCTAGGTACAGTGGCACATGCTATGCAATGCCAGCCACGCAGGAGTTTCAGAAGCTCAAGAAGAGCCTGAACAACTTAGCAAGCCTCTTTCAAAATAAAATTTTCAAAAGGGGCTGGAAATGGGCCAGGGATTTAGCTCAGTGGTGCCACCACCTGCCTCTCAAGTGTAAGGTCCTGAGTTCGATCCCCAGTACCAAAAAAAACAAACAAAAAGGGGCTGGAAATGTAGCTTAGTAGCATGTGCAAAGTAGTATCTCTTCTAGCATGTACAAGGCCCTAGGTTCAGTTTGCCAGTACCACGCATGCACACATGCACGAATACACACATACATACACAACTTGTCAAATGTCTCTCTGCTAAAATTCAAATCTAAAATATATGCTTTCAAGGTGTTTTTAATCATAATATATTATACTCATGTAGAAGTAATAGGTTCGAATTGCAGAAATAATAACATCGGTTACATTTTACCTATCTATAAGAATTTGATTGGTTTTCTTCCACTCTTCAATTGCAGAAGTTTCTTTTGCCTCCAGCTTCTGTTTCAAACTATTTATTTCTGATTCATAATAAGCGCGAAGATCTGCTATGTGTCGAGCATGCTTTTCCTTCAGATTCTGCCTAATCCTGTTGGTGAGAGCAAAAAACATCATCAGGAAAGCACATCCCTGCTTTCCATCCCACAAGAGAAACCAAGAGCACAGTTATTCTTCCAGGCGAAGTACAGGCTGCTTACATCGCACATCCCCAGAAAATAGAGTCGACGCTCTGCATGCTCCAGCAGCTTCTACATGCAAGACTGTTTTCATTCACTATGGTCTCCTAGGTGCCTTTGTCAGCACCCTGTCTTCACCTTACAAGGGGCCTCGGGATTTAGCTTAGTGGTAGAGCACCTGCCCAGCATGCAGGAAGCCCTACAGGTTTTTGTTTTGTTTTGTTGTTGTTGTTGTTACTGGGGATCAAACTGAGGACCTTGTACCTGTGAGGCAGGCACAACACCACTGAGCTAGATCCCCAGCCCAGCCTTTGTTTTTTGGTTTTTTTTTTGGAACTGGGGATCAAATTTGGGTCCTTGTGCTTGCAAGGCAGGCGCTGGAACCACTGAGCTAAACCCCGAGCCCAAGCCTTGGGTTTTTATGTTTTTTTTTTGGTACCAGGGATTGAACTCAGGTCCTTGCGCTTGCAAGGCAGGCCACCGAACCGCTGAGCTAAATCCCCGGCCCTAGTGTTAGGTTTTTTTAATCTCCAGCACCAGAACAAAGGAAAATGACAATAAAGTGAAAAAAAAAAAAACACAAATAACTTAGTTCTTAGATGCTGTCTTTAAAATAATGCTGCTTGTCTTTAAGATTTTATACATTAATAAGTTTTAACAAAAACTTTTTTATTATTCAATCAAACACAATAGGAAATCTATTAATAGTACAAGCCATTCACTGAAATACATACTTAGACAATATCACAGGATCTTCCAGAGAAGTCAATGAAATGCATTCTGGGACACTGTTGGCTGTACCTGGAAGCTGGGACTGACTGACCAAGGATGAAGCTGCCATGACAGTGTTTTCTTCATCTACAGTGTTGACCGAGATGTCATTGCTAGTCAACGTATACACTGAAGGAAATGGGGAACTGGTCCTACTTTCATTTTGGAATGCATGGTTCTTCCACGAGTCCACTGGTGAAGCTTTTGCATTTAACGGATATTTTGGGAACCCAGATAACTGAGAGGTGACATTACTTGCTTGTGAAAAGGAGTCGATGTCAGAGTGACTTGACATACTTGGTTCCAGAACAGAGTCTGGTGAGAAGGATACTCTGTCATCAAGAGCATTCTGAAAGCCATGTGGGTGAGTCCCTGAAACCTGCTGATTTGGCTTCATGTGCAATGTCGGATCCAGAGTCAGGACCTAGAAATAAGACAGACAACCTTAAGGTCCTCCCTCAGTACCCAACTTCTTTTGCTGCATTTAAGTGAGAAGGCTTTAGTTCTCCTAGGGAAAAGAAAGCTTACAGTCAAAGTTAGAGGCATGAAGCACCTTTCATTTGCACTCAGCAGAATGTTGACAACTTTACCTCTGGCGGATGATTTGGGCTGGAAGCAGAGGTGAGATTCCTCTCAGGTAAATGCTTGTTTTCCCTTTGTTTTTTATGATAAATATCCTTCAGTGATGGTAGCTTCATCTCATTACTAGTATTAGACTTAAAGATAAATAAAGTTATTTAAAAAACATCAATGATGAGAAAATTTACTGATATCAAGATCAACACCATAAAAAAATTTTGAAAGATTTTAAATAAACTGAAAATGCAGACTGTCAGACTTTACAAGTTGAAAAGTCATTTCCTATTGAAAAGATAGGAAAAAATGTCATATCTCCTAACAATGAGTGCCAAGGGGGGAAAAATCGCAATTATCTAAAACCTAAATTATCTAGCAGCCCATGATTAATTCCAAAGAATAAAATTCTGGGTAGTCTGTGGTATGGGTTGAGTCTTGGACGTCCTCCAAAGGCTCCTGTGTCAAAGGCTTGGTCTTCGGCTCACAGTACTAGGGAGACTGTGAAACCTTTAAGAGGAGGGTCCTACAGTAAAGAAGCTACACCCGCAACATCTAGGAAGGAGATCCGAAGACTCTGGTCTCCTCCTTTCTCTGTTTGTCTCCAGGCCTCCATGAGGTGAGCACCTTCTCTGCTTTGTGGTCCCACCACAACGTACTGATTTACCACGAGACCAGAAGCAACATGGCCAGTGACCATGGACTGAAGCCTCTGAAACCTTAAGCCAAAATAACCCTTTCCTCCCGCTATTTCTTACATATTTTGCCACAGTATCAGAGTACTGACCAGCATAACCTCACTCAAAATAAGAACCAAGTTTTGAGGTGAACAAAGACTTCATAGTCACATACTGAAGCAGGACAAGAGAACTTTTGGCCAAATTTACTTCATGTGACTCAGGGTAAAAGTATCAAGAGATGGAGTTCCTTACTACAGAGTTATATTGATTCTTCTTTTTCTTTTTTTTTTTCTAGGTATCAGGGATCGAACAAGTCCTTGCACTTGTGAGGTAGGTGGCAGAACCACTGAGATAAATCCCTGGCCCATTATACTGATTTTTTAAAATAGTTGGCAGACAAAAAAAAGTTATATTTTCAATAAAAATAAACTCCTTTATTAATTAGTAAAATAAGACTTAACCCTAATTTTTAAAGCTGGAAATCAGGGCCTCGCTTCAATAAAAATGTCAGAAAGATAGGCCAGGGATTTGGCTCAGTGGATCTGCTGCCTGCTAATGGTTCATCTTATGCCACTATGTAAGTTGTTTTTCTCCACGGTTCTCGTACTTCCAAATAACCCAGCCATGCCTACATTTGTATAAAACGAGAACCCAAAAAAAAAAAAAAAAAAAAAAAAAAAAAAAAGTCAGAGTTGGTCTAAATTCCAGACCCTGAAATACTGGGCTTTATTTATCTCAAGAGGGATCTACTATAGTTTGCTAACGCTGGGCCTCAAATTTAAACTGTGGCCACAGTCTCTAATAAGATCACAGATTCAATAAGAGATATACTAAAAGAATAGTTGTCATATAACTTTAAGTGTAGTTCCATTTCTAGACCTACAAGGACTGCAGATTTTTTTTTACTTTTTTTCTGGGAATGGAGACTCACTATGCTCCCCAGTCTCATCTTGAATTTCTAGGATCAAGTCTTCCTCCATTCTCAGTCTACAAGCAGCTGAGACAACAGGCATGTGCAAGAGCCCCCAGCTCACTGTGAATTAATATTTTAGTAAATTCCAAAGCTTATGGACAGAACAATTAATTATACTTCTCATGTATAAATTAGAGACATTAATTTATTAAAACTAAGCCCACACTTCCCACAATCCTGGTTGGGGATTCCACAGTTTTGATACCAACAACCTGAAGGCCTTTTGCAAGCCCTGACCTTGTGGCAAGGAGCAGCACCGTCTATGGCCAAGGCCACACCCAAAGGAGGCTGCAGGGGGCTGGGTGAACCCGAGGAGCTTGTAGGTACACTCATAAGTACCAAAGTTCATTTGTTTCATAATATCATTTTCTTTACATATTTTAATATCTCTGAAGATGCATCTTGTAATTACTGGCATCTTACCAGTGCTATTAGCCAAGTAATAGCTGTAACATAATTGCCAGTGCCTGCTCAGAAGCAAGAATCAAAAACAGGGCCAGGGATTTAGCTCCGTGGTTCTGCCGCCTGCCTCACAAGCTCGAGGACCCGAGTTCAATCTCTGGTACCAAAACAAAAAGAAGCAAATATCAAAATCAAAAAAGGTGTTCACATAGTTGCTAACAGCTTGGAAGAAAAATCCTAGAGACTACAATGAAATTTCTGAGAACCAATATTTAAGGGAAAGGCTAATTTAATTAATTGCCCATGTTTAGCAACATGTTCCATCCTGTAGTTAAAAGTAAGCTAGTTCGACATAATTATTAAGCCAGGTAAAAACTCAGCACCAAGGCCTTATGTACTCTTTTTAAAGTAATGCTGAATCAGTAATACTCTTGATGGCCTGAAAGAAAATATGTACAAAAGCAAAGAAACCAACACTGAGTTGAAAAGAAGTTTAGCCAATTTTATTTCACAACATGTTCCATCCTGTAGTTAAAAGTAAGCTAGTTCGACATAATTATTAAGCCAGGTAAAAACTCAGCACCAAGGCCTTATGTACTCTTTTTAAAGTAATGCTGAATCAGTAATACTCTTGATGGCCTGAAAGAAAATATGTACAAAAGCAAAGAAACCAACACTGAGTTGAAAAGAAGTTTAGCCAATTTTATTTCATGTGCATTTTCCATTTTTTTTTTTTTTTTTTTTTTTTTTTTTTTTTTTTTTTTTTTT